CGTCTAAAGCTAAAAAATAAATAAAAGTTAAAAAATTTAAATTTGAATCTAAAAATTAATATAAATTATAATCATACCTAAAGTTAAATTATCGCTTTTTTCTAAAACTTCAGCAACTTTATTATTAATTCGTAATATTTCATTATCAAGAATATGACCTGAAAGTGTAATTCGTCCGGGTAAATGATAAGTTGGATTAAGACGCATAAATAAATCTCGTATAAAAGGATGATCAATAACATTAAAAGGAATGTTACATCCAACTCAAGCTTTTAAAAGAATTTGATCAATTAAATTTTGATCTTGTAAAGAAAGTACAGATATGTCTTTAATAAATGGGGATGAAAGTTTTTGTCATTTTGTATTTTCTGTTTGTTGATAATTATTATTTTTATGTTCAATCTTATCACACCAATATTTTCTAATTACTTCTGAACATTTGGAACATTCCGAAGCTAAATGAATTTCCATTTGTGATGGTAAACCTCGTTGCCAATGTTTAGAACAATAATGACAAGATGCTACATTATGTCCAGTTCCATTTTGTGATCCAATCTTGAAATAATTCCATACTTCTGTACGAGGTCTACCACCTAAGTTATGTTCTTTAGGTTTTTGTTTTTTGGTTGAAATATTTTCAACTATATTATGTGAATTAGAAGTAGAATCAAAAGTTAATGAAATACTGCTATTACTTTCTGTTTCACTAAATGAAAAATTATCAGACATTTTTATAAATATTATAAAAATCAAAATCTTTACTTTTATATTTCACTTTTCGCTTTACATTGTTGATAATAATATAATGGTCGTATCTATATATAATCTGTAACAATTTAGATATATCCTTTATTTGATTTTTTTGGAATAGTCACTAGTTTTGTATTACGTTACATGATAAAACCAAAACCTTCAATAGATAAAACCTTTTGTCATTTAAGTTTAGGTATTGTTGGTAACACTACTGTACGGTATATCCAATAAAATTTTTTTTTATATAGTATAATATAACGTAAGAAATATGTAATTTATTGACACGCGTACGCGTCAAACCTTTGATATAAATAGGCGGGTTTTCACGTAAAATCAACCCAACCTACTTTTCCTCTCTAG